ATCATAGAATGCCAATTTAATAGAAGAAAGTATTCTTGCATTGAGGGAGTACTTGAGTGGAGGCCCAATGTCCTTCAATGCAAGAACATTTTGTTCTAATAACCTGGCATTCTGTGATGCTCACCTTCCCAGCATGATCGCTGAAGACAAAATGGGTGCATGAGCAAATGTGGCAAAGAAAGTGGATGGTGCCTGGATATTAAAAGATATAGTGTCTGGGAGTCTTAAAGGCTTAAAGGTCAACAAACAGCCATCTAGTGGGAAGCAGCAGAGCCCACATGGAAGAAACAGCCAGCCTGTGTGATCATGAGGTAACGACCGGATCAGTTATCAGGCATCAGAAGACCCAAAACAAACCATCATATCGATGTAAATGATGGGGGTCAGAATGGAGACCCAAAGTCCATCTGTAGACAATTGGACATCCCCTCACAGAAGGGTCACAACGAAGGGATGAGCCAGCTAGGTGCAGTATTGCACCGACGAAACATACAACATTCCTCTAGTTCTTTAATGCTTCCTCTCCTCCACTGCCCCGTCCCCAGCTCTATCTTACCAATCTGGCTAGACCAGAGCATGTACACTGGTATAGATAAGAGTCCTTTACACATGGAAGCCAGGACAGATAAACCCCTCAGAAACAATCATGGGAGTAGTGATACCATGAGGGTAGTGGGAAGGTGAGGGGACTAAGGGGTAACTTTTGCAATGATTAACAGAAACATGGGTGAAGGGAATAGCAGACTGTGAATGATATGAAAATAATAATTTATAATTTATCAAGGGTTCATGACGTTGAGGGGGGAGGGAGGGAGGGAAAAATGAACCTGATATCAAAGGCTCCAGTAGACATAAAATGTTTTGAGAAAACATATGTAACAATGTGCTTGACACGCGTTGAGGATCCAAATGTGCCATGTTTAAATGCTCATTCATTTTTTGAGGTGTCTTTGAAGTGTCTTTGTGGCTGGGTGACCGTATATATAACATAACAAAAGGCCACCTGGTCTTCTATCAGCCTCCCAATAACCAGCATGTTGAGTCCATCATTGTGGTTGTTTTGACCATCCATCTTACCGAGGGTGTTCCTCATCCTAGTGCGCTCTCGATTCCATCAAATGTGGTGTCATCACCTGGCAATTGATGTCTCCTCTTGATGTATTCAGAGCAAATCAGACAGTGCTCTGTTCATTTTTAAAAGTAGGTCATCAGGTCTTTCTTTTTAGGCTTAAGCTCCACTGAAACTTGCATACCGTGGTCCCCCTGCTGATATTTGAAATTCAGGTGGCATAATAGTAACATAAGCCACCACAGTATGACAAATTCATGGGGGATGTTTCTTAGTAGAACGGCACTGGAAACTTAAAAAAAAAAATCACATAGTATTCTCTCATAACAATTTTATTACTAAACACAAAGTTCTACCTTTTTAAAATAATGCCATTTCATTTTTCATGTTACTGGATATGTAGACTATTATACAATGGCAGGAACCCTGGTGGTATAATGGTTACTGGTTGGACTGTCAATCACCAGGTCAGCAGTTAACAGGCTCCTGCCCACTGTCAGGGAGAAAGATGGTGTTTACTACTCTGGCATAAACCCGGACAGAAACCCACAGGGGCAGTTCTCGTCTGTCCTTAGAGGGTTGCTGTGAGCTGGTATCAACTCAACGGAAGTGAGTTGTCAGTCTTACAGTACAAAGAGCTCTCTGTTACACAGGTGTGCATGCACATCCCCAAACCAAACCTTTTTCCTTACACTCAATTCTGACTCATCTTCTGTGACTATCAGTCTTTGCTGGGGTAGACAACTGAGTCTTTCTTTTGCAAGTGGCTCATGGGTTTGAACTGCTGAGTCCCTGGTGAACTTTGCAATTAAGAATACTATCAACTTCTATTTGAGTTGAATAAAATCTTGAGGCTTTAGTATATACTTTTTTAATATACAAGGATAAAGATGTATATGTTTGAGGTACCATATGAATAGCAAAATAATCTGGTTGAAAATAGGGGGCTTCAAAAAGCCCCTTATTTTCCAAAGGTGGGTGGAAAAATGAAGTTCAAAGTTAATGAATTTTTTCTTTTAGATTTTTTTGGAGCCCCTTCATATGACATAAGGAGTAATGTTTTAGAACTAGTTTCAAATTGACCTATATGTCAATGCAGTAGTCAAATTACTAAGAATAATTTTGATGTCATGATGCATCAGATACATTCTCATTTTAAAGATCCTCAGAACAGAGAAGAATGCAGAATTGGGCCTTTTGTAAAGAAACTCTTTTACACTAATGCCTTTCCAAAGATGATAGCATTTAACCAAGGTGCTGTCAGAATCCTGAAAAGCATGGCTTGATAACTGTTCTAACTTTGATTTATTGGTATATAAATGCAATATTTATTGCTGTATTTTGTTGTCCCTAAATTTGCTAGTTTTTGTGTATGTTTGCTTAGGCTACAATGACATCGGTTCATTTTCTACTCAGGGTTTGGAATGCTGCTGTTTTTTTGTTTGCTTTTTCACCATTTAATTAGTTATCCATTTTCCTGTTTAGACGAAGCTCCAGTGGCTCTGTGAGGAACTGAGAGAGAGGGAGAGCCGGGAGACAAGCCTGCGGCACCAGCTGATGCTGTGCAGACAGCAGCTCAAGGACCTGACGGACAGTAAGGAGTCTGAGCTCCAGTACCTCTTTGATCAGATAGAAAGGCAGGAGCAACTTCTCGAAGAAATACATCAGGAGAAGCGAGGTGTGTGCTGCTCCCCTTACTCTTCTTTCTGTGTTCATACTCGTTGAATCTTAGAGTTGGAAAAACAAACAAACAAAAACTAAAGGTATCCTCTGTCTGGTTCTGCTCTCTCCCATTTCGACTGTTTGGAAACCAGTGTTCTTTTCTTCTCCGTTGTCTCTTATCTTTCTGTCTGCATTTTGTGATCAAGAAAATGGTTTTGCCTGACAGGTCTTCATTACTGTGCAATTATTTGGAGTTCTTCCTTCAACTACTGTGTCCCTCTGGTGTATAGCCAGCTACTGGCTGTTTGCTGTTCTCATGTGTTTCTTTGGTAAGAGCTATTTGTTTTTCGTTAATGCAATGCCAGAATTAATAACTTACTACAGTCATATAGCCATTAATTTATGCAGCAAATATTTACTTTATTTCTGTTGTGTCAGGCACTATTCTAGATGTTGGAGATGCAACAGCGAATCAAACAGAAAAAAATATTCCTTCCTTGGTTTATTTCATGTATTAGGGGAGGGGAACAGGTAGAGAAAAGAAATGTAATAATAGGTACAGTATATAATGTATGAGAATGCTTTAAGCTCAGTGGTAAAGACAATTGAGTAAAAGAAGAGGAACATGGGAGGGGGGGGACAGAGATTCATATATTCAGTATGGAGGTAATACCTAAATTGAAAAGTTTGGCAAGATTTTGGAAAATTAATGTTAAGTAATATCAGAAGTACATTATGACTGGAAGAAGAAAAAAAGCATATGTATATGTTCTATTAACTTTAGAACATTGCTTTATTGGTGAACTTTATGAATGTAAGAACCAAAGAAAGGTATCATAGCATTTTGTTTAAAAACAAAGAAACAAACCAAAACCGTTACATGTGAGAATCCTTTAAAAAAAATAAGTGGTGTGTTTTTCATTTTAGTAATCATGATTATTCTCCCCTAAAATTAGAAGTCTCAAAAAACTAAATGAAAAATTAGAATGGAAAGATAATGGAGTTCTTTCTCAAACTTTTTGAATCCTCCTTGTATACTACTTGGATATTATTTAATACTGTCCTACAGCAAATATCAACCTTTTTAGTGACAGGACCACCTTAATTATTAAATGTTTCCATGGACCAAGACTAATTTCAGTTTATTAATATGTAACATATTACCATTTAAAACTGAGATTTTATTTTTTTATACCGTATACTTTTCAAGTAACAGTTATGTATCCATGTTTACATGTCAACATAAAAGTGTTTTAATGAAAATTAACAAGCTTTCAAAACAAGGGTGGTATTGTTTTCGATTCAAAATATGTATTTTATATTTTTGGCTTTAAAGAAGCCAGCTTTTGTCCCAGTTAATGCTTCTGTAGTACTGATGTCCTGTAACTTCTAGAAAAAAATGTAAATGAATGAGTGAAGGCCAAAAAACGGCACACAATATCTTAGTTAGAGGGATTTTGGCGGATCTCATGCAGCACTCGCTGTTTTAGTGCTATTGAAAAATGGTAAATGGTGGCTACTCTTGTATTATTATTATTTTTAAATCACCTCTCAGTGCTTCCTCTTGGCTAGGTTACGATTTGATTGACCAGACACCACTAGGAACTCTACCTCCTCCTCACCATCACTTTTGGATCTCTTGTTGTTCCTCTGCCCTTGGCATTATGGGCTTACCACTCCCTTTCCCAACCTCCTCCTCTGCTGTTATGCCCTCCTCTTGCTTATCATGCTTATCTTCTATAGATAGACTTAACAAACAAAACACCAACTCCTCCCCACCGCCAAAAAAAAATCACATAAAACCACTACCACCACCAAAAAACCCTATAAATAGTTCCCGGTCTATTTGCTGCCCTTCATGAATAACCCCTAATGACGTCTGGTGGGGTGCCAAGTACTGCCACCTGAATCAGACATCTATTTCGGGAATCCTCAGGGACTTGATGAATTTGCTCCCATTGCTGATCTGTTACGCTCCCTTCTTGACCCGCTCCAATGTGGACAGGTCAGACCAGACTCACTCTGCACAGGGTCTAGTCTTGTCCTCTGTAGCAATGTGACCTAGTGAGGGACATCGTGTCTCTAGCTGGGGTCAGCCCTGTGCTCCTCCCTGTGCAGGAGCTGCCCCAAGCAGGGACGTCGTGCTACAGGCTTGGTGAGCTGGCATGAGGTCTAGTGTCCCTCATACATTTTTCTTAATGACAGTGCAAGAACATCTAGCTATACAATCAATAAAATCCTGTTATAGACATATCTCTAACAGTAAATTGTAATCTGGTTTTATTTATTACCCTGTAAATAATTTCTTTGCATAATAAATTAATACTTTAGTGTATTATAAATACATAAACTTATCAGTGGGTAGTAATAAAATAATAACAGATATTTGTCACTTAGATATTTATATTCAAATGCCCAGATTTTTCATGAAACTTTGGGAGATAAGCCTGTTTATAATGTCTATTTATGATAGCATTGTGTTCTCTTCTGGTAGGATTTGTTTAAAGTTATTATTATGTTTTGAAGACAGTAGAACTCACCAATGAAGTCATGTAAGCTCATTGTATTCTTTGTGCAAAAAATTTATTATTTTAATTTTAATAAATCACTTTATTGGGGGTCTTACAGCTCTTAGAACAATCCATACATCAATTATAACAAGCAAATTTGTGCATATGTGACCATCATCATTTCCAGAACCAAAATTTTAATTTCTGACTCCAATTGTTTAATGGTTATAGGGCTATACAGAATTTCTGTTTCTTCTTGAGTCAGTTTTTTAATTTCTATATTTCAAGAAATTTGTCCATTATGTTTAAACTAATTAATTAATTAGCATACTTAAAAATCATTTTATTGGAGGCTCATACAACTCATCACAATCCATACATGCATCAGTTGTGCAAAGCACATTTGTAATTAGCATACTTTAAAATAATATTCATCGTTTAAATGATTATAATGCCTAGTGGATATACTGAAAGGTTGATCCAAGGGAGAAAGGCGTGACAGTCTGCTTCCATGAAGATTTATGGCCTTGGAAGCCCTATGGAGAAGCTGCACTGTACCCTATAGAGTTGCAGTGAGTCCGAATTCATTGAACAGCAGTGGGTTCAGGATCATGATGTCAAACATTGTTAGGTGCTCTTAAGTTGGTTCCAACTCATAGCAATCTTGTGTAAGACAGAGTGAAACCTTGCCTGGTCCTCTGCCACCTACAATAAGGCCTCTTTGTGTGTTTCTGACATGGGTATTTTACCTTTAACATATGTATCATTCGTTCTTTTTCTGGCTTCTTATGATGGATGGTTAATTTTAATATCATTCTTTTCTAATATAGACCTTTAACGTAATAAATGCCCTTCTTAGAAACACTTTCAGGACCTCTCACAAATTTTACTATGTTGTGATCTCATTCCCGTTCTTTGAATCAGAATATTATTTCTCTTGTGTTTTCTTCTTTAACCAATGGAGTTTTAAAAATTCCATTTTATATTTACGCTGCTTAATCCCCACTTATCTATCAGTTTTATTGCCTTCTAGTTTAATGCCCTTATGATCATAGAATATAACTTAGATGATTATGAAATTTATTGGGATTTGTTTTATGATACTATAATATGATTTAATTTGGTGAAATTTTCACATTCACTTGAAAACTATATATGTTTTGCATTTTTGTAGTGTTTTATAAATACTACAATCACAAATTATTTAATACTGTTCAATATCTCTACTGATTATTTTGCCTCCTTAATTGTTCTCAGTAGGAATTGACTTGGTGACTTTGGATTTACAGCAATTACTGCGAGTTGTTAAAATATCCAACTGCCACTGTGTTTTGTGTTTTATCATTGTTTCTTGTGTTTTGAGCACCTTGAGACGGAATTGATGCAGTTGTTACTATTCTTGTCAGGTGCCATGGAATTGCTGCCAACCCATCTTGAGCCTGTGTCTGTCAGAATGAAACGCGGTGTGCTCCTTCACCATCCTCACACATCTTGTTGTGTTTGAGCTCATTACTTCAGCCACTGTGTTAATCCATCATGTTGCAGGTGCTCCTCTTTTTCACTTCCCCTCTACTTTACCAAGCATCATGTCCTTTCCAGGGTCTTGTCTCTCTTATGTGTCTCCCATAATATGTAGTAACAAAATTAAGAATCAATTATATGATACTCCCCGTGAAAGGAAAAGGGGGACTTACAAGGATGTGGCTAAAAAATATTTAAAAAGCATCAGATACAAAAGATTGTATGGAGGGCTTAGCAAAAGGTTAGCTGGAGTAGATTATGGAGGGATAGAACCAATTGGAGGGCTTACGGCCTAGAAGGTCACGCCATTGTGAAAAACGGGACCGTCTCAGAGCAGGGTGCTCCTTTGATGCAAGAAAGAATGCCCTCGCTGCTCTTTACATATTTCTTAAAATCATAAGCGGCAAACATAGTGTTGTGAAGCCTCAAACTTTTGTAATGGAGGAATTTTATCCAGGGGCTTTATAAAGTTGGTGGGATTTTTTTTCACAAACTTTTTTGAAGCCCCTTTGTGTAGTAATCCCATGCCTTATATGTGTAAGATGTAGTTGGTTTGAAAAATTCAGAAGTGCGAAGGGTATCTGCTACCAAGGAAATGCTTTTATGGTTGGGAGCTTTACTAGAAGGAGATAAGGGTTATTATTTTCAGTTTTGTTGCCTCGGATTCATGAGAACCCCATGTACAACCACCATGATCATACCATGCTAAACCTATTCTTTCAGCCACTATGTCTTTTGAGTGTCTGCTAGTCTAAAGACAATAGACTGTGATCACATGGTTTTGTTGATTGGAAGTAGCCAGCCAAGCCTCCCTGGCAGTCTGGTTTAGTATGGAAGATTTCCTGAAACAGGTGGACCATGGGTGATCCTGCTTCGATTTGAAAGACCACTGGCTCAGCGTCTACCATTTTAGCAACATGAAAGCCTCCATAGTACTACAAGCTGACAGGTGATTGGTGATATTAGCAGGTAGGATGAAGTAAGG